GTACCATATTCTCATCTCCCAGGAAAATGACAGATTGGATGCCTAACGTACAATGCTAGTATAGAAATATGTCAGAAGCCAGACAGTCTCCCTATTCGGTTTTTTTTGTTTGTTTTTTTTTTTGGTGAGGAGATCAGCCCTGTGCTAACATCTGTCAATCCTCCTTTTTTTTTTTTTTTTTTTTTTTTGCTGAGGAAGACTGACCCTGGGCTAACATCTGTGCCCATCTTCCTCACTTTATATGGGACGCCGCCACAGCATGGCTTGCCAAGCAGTGCGTCGATGCGCGCCGGGATCCGAACTGGCGAACCTCGGGCCGCCATAGCAGAGCGCGCGCACTTAACCGCTTGCGCCACTGGGCCGGCCCCAGTCTCCCTATTCTTTTAGAGGTAATTCCATAGAAATTAATTCCATAGAATTTAATCAGAGCTTATAGATCAGATAGGTTTTTATTTGCGCATGCTTTCTCTACACAATCAATGCAGTCTGCAGTTTGCTTATGCAGAAACTATATCAGTTTCTGCTTCCTTCCATTTGATTTGGCAACAGCTCTAGGTGTCCACAAAAGTTACATGATGCCTATTGTTGCTGAACGCTTGAATTGCTTAGGAATAGGTATTTGCAATTTGTTTTACCTCCATGATTATCTAAAAAATCTTCTATCAAAAAGTGTTTTTTAAAAGTCCTTGAGTTCTTCCCAACTGGTAATACGTTCAGAAGAAATGCTATCAGGGTTTTTGCACAGTAATTCCATGTGTTAGGATGAGCATCGATTCCCAGAACCTTAGTGGTAAAAGACCTTTGATAATCACTTACTTAAATCCGTTCATTTTATTGCTGAGGCAAACTGAGGCCCAGTGAAGACAAAGGGGCTGCTCACATCCAAGCAGCAAGGTGCTGTGTTACCAGGATGAAGGGCCTTAGTCTCTGTCCTCTGCGGTCAGGGTCCCTGACATCTTAAACTTTATTGTACATACAAATCTCATGGGAATCTTGTTACAATGCGGATTCTTATTCGGTAGTTCTGGACTGGGGCTCGAGATTCTGCATTTCTACTAATAAGATCCCGGGAGATGTTGGTGCTGTTGGTCCATGGACCACACTTTGAATAATAATAAGGCTTTACGCTAAGACAATTCATCTCCTTAGTGAAGGTGAACATTATGGAAAGCATAGTTCTGGTTCAGACATAGCCAGTAGTTCAAAAAAGGATTGGCACACCTTAAGTAGTTGTAGCGTTACTGCACCAAATATTCTATATGATCTTATGATAGAGATAAACCATCATCCCATAATGCTAGTTTCCTAGGAAACATCATCTTAGAAGTTCATATTAATTAGAAAATTGATTGGGTGAGATTTTTGACCCCCTTTACCTAATTGTCCTGGGCCCTCTGATGTCAAAACTATCATCTAAGATGCATAAATGATGATTCTTAATAAATGCATTCCTTCTTTTAAGGGACTTATGATTCCCCAGCTATTTGTCAATTTCATGATCCTTAAATAAGTGCATTTCTTACCTCAAATGGTTCTCTTTCTCTTTCTCTCTCACACACACATGTAGCATTCACATATACTACACCATGTTCTTTTTATGAAACAAGTGGATTATTGCATGATCAATATGATAATTTTTTTTATTGATGTTTTAATGGTTTCTAACATTGTGAAATTTTGGGTTGTGCATTTTTGTTTGTCCATCACCATATATATGACTCCCTTCACCCCTTGTGCCC